TGCTTTCAATTGGTAACAGGTATTGTTCTGCTGATGTGTATAGGATAGAATGCCCATCATCTAAGGGGTCCATTGTTTATGTAAGTATTGGGCAGTGTATGACAATACTTTTCAAGTAAAGGTGTCTGTGAAAGGGTGATGGATTGTTTTGTTTTTCATATTTTCACAAATTTCCTTCAGACATGGTTTGTGATCCAGCCTGGCCTGGATATCAGTAAACAGTCAGGCTACATTTGAACAGATGTTTCTCATGTGTCAGCCTTCTGAGTACAAGTCCAACAATAGAAGATGTGCCTCCAATGTGTCCTGTTTTGTCAATACTTTTTAAAACTGTTAATATTCAAATGCTTAATAGAAGAGAATCTCAGAAACATTAAAATACCTCATCTCTGTATTCAAAGTAGCATTTTCATCTATCTGGTAGAGATATAATAAAGTAGAATAATCAGCAATCAACTGTGTATCTCATAGTTTGATGTGCTATAGATATGTATATATTATTTGATGTTCCTACTTTATGAACCAATTTTTATCCACTTGGCACTCCCTCTTGAAGTATTGCCTCCTAAGGGAGTTATCTAGAGATGCCAGATAATGTCAGGGAATTGAGATTTATTTTAGAAAAAATGTGTGTGTGTGTGTGTGTGTGTGTGTGTGTGTGTGTGTGCTGATTATGGGTTTGTAGGGCATTGCAGACATGTTGAGACCTGAAGAAAACTTGAGAAAATTCTTTTGGTCCTCTTTGTATGGTGATGAAATCAGATTACCAGCCTTGCACACCACAGACATTTTTTACCCTAATGAAGCATCTCACTGGCACTTGACTATGATTAGTAGAGACATTATATCAATAAAATGTTATCTGTTAAAATTATAAACATTTAAAGATAGAGGAACACAGGATAATTTGAATAATGAATCCTATTTGCAGATGAATATGATATATTGCCATTTTTGGATTGTATTAGTTTCTTCTGAGAAGTAAACACTTGTTCATAACACTTTCTCAGAACCACAAATGAATTCCAGGGAATTGTCTCAGTGAGTAAATTTGGTTGTTTCTAAGCCTGGTTACCTGAGTTCAGTCTCTTGGAGACCCATAGTGCTCCTACAAGTATTTCTTTTGTTGTATACTTGGTCTGTGGCATATGCACACCCAAACACCAGCATATAGAAAAACAATTTTAAAACCCAAATAAGGCCAATGAGGTCACTTGCAGCCAAACTTGACTCCCTGCATTTGATCACTAGAACTCACATAGGTGAAGTAGTAATTACACCTGTACGTTGCTCTGTGAGTGTCACATGCACACCGTGGCATAAGTGTATACACACCGTTAAAACAGTTTTAAAAGTTGAAGTCAGGAAAGTGAAGAGAATAACCTAAATATTGAGAACAAATAAAATTACTTGCCGGTTGAAATTAATACATTGTAGAATTTTAAGTAGAATTACTGTTCATCAAAACAATGATGGTTCCTGTTTAAAATTTGCACTATATTTTTTTTCTCTGATTCAAACATAGGTTATTAAAACAATATATCCCAGCTGAGCATAGTGGTTCATGTGACTGCAGCACTTGGGAGACAAAGTCTAGAGGATCTCTCTGAATTTTAGGCAGGTGTGGTTGAGATAGTGAATCCCAGGACAGCCGTTGCTACATAGAAAGATCCTTTCTCAAAACAAACAAACAAAAAAAAAAGATTATGGAACTTTTCTTATATAATCTGGCTGAACTCATCTGTATTCTACAAATCCTTTTGTTTTCTTTACTCACATCAAGAGAAATGTATTAATAATGATAATAAGAAACAACGAGGAGAGCCCATTCACAGGGCTAGAAATCCATTGACTCATTCAGTGACCATGTAGCAAAAGGAGTAACGGGGCCTCTTCATCTACTGCATTATAATGACTGATTTGGTAGCTGGAGAGTTGGCTCAGCAGTAATGATCCTGTTAGGTACCCAAGTTTGGTTCGTAGCACCCATGTCAGATAGCTCAGTTCTACCTGTAATTCCAGGTTCACAAGATATGAGGCACTGTTTTGGCCTCCTTGGGCACTAGGTATGCAAATGGTGTAGAGACAGAGGCATGTTACTTCATATTGAAGAAAAGGTTTACTTTACATGTGTTATTTTTTAATTAAAGTTAATTTATTTTAGGTGTATAAGTTTTGCCAGTGTGTAAAACAGTTGAATTCCAGGTACGAGTGGAGACAAGAAGAGAATGTCAAATCTCCAGTGGTTGAAATGACAGTGAAATACAGAAGTTGTGAGATGTCTTTTGGGTGCTGGGAATCAAAGCCAGGCCCTGTGGACAAAAAGCCCCTGTCTTTAGCTGCTGAGCCATGTATTCATACCCATATACATGTTATTCATAGTAATAAGATATGAGTGCTGTTTTCAGTTCATCTTTACTTCAGCCCTAATGACCCGTAAGAAATAAGATTGATAGCATCAGAAACTAACTTAGAAGAAAACTAACTTCAAGAAAAATTTAAGCCTAAATCTGCACAAAATGAGGGAAGTGTGCAAAGAATGTTCAGGAGGAATTGGAAAGCAGTGGCCTTAAAAGTGTCTGACCACTTGACCAAAGCCACACGACTGAGTTTATCTCAAATGTGGTAAATAGGCAGCAGTGGGAGCCCACAAGGACACAGGCCCAATGTCTCATGCTGGAGTTTATGCTCCGTGTAAGGAGAGAAAATGAATTTGCAGGCATGAAGACCAACTTGTCTGAAAGGGATGGTTCACTGATGCCTATGAAGAGACTAGAAAACCAAAATCAAAACATTGTTTTTAGGGCATGGTAGGACAAAAATGGACTAAAGGATTTCTTAGAGAAAACATCTTGGAGATTTCAGGTAGGAAGCTGGGGCAAACCATTGAGGCCAGCATAGCCTTCCTCTCCAGCCTGATGCTGTAAAGCCTGACTGCTGGCAATAGCTTTTCTAGAACCTGGTTTTCTATTCTTTTGGTTCTGGTAGGGCCTTGCTTCCCCAAGACTGATTCTAGGCTGATGTAAATTTACACGAACCTTCCAAGCCTAAGCATTTAAAAGTGCCAGATGCTTTGTTAATATTGGAGGCACATGGCTAAGAATGCTTCACTTCCCCCTGGAAGCCATTAAATCTATCAGATAAAGCAGTGTGTCAAAAATGAAACAAAACTAACTTCTTTAGTATAAATGAGGTAATCCTTTAAGGGTTCAGTGGCAGCAGGAAATTTATGGATGTGTTTATTTTGTTTTATTTCATTTTAACGAGGAGGTCACATGGCATTTACATTTTTAAAGAAACCATTAGTAAACATGATGGCCAAGACACATTGCTGCTTTCATTGTGATGTAATCACCAGTAAGATGGGAACAAACCACATGTGCAGGGAACCATAGCGTTGACTTGGCCTAGCTGCCTTGAGAGGGATGCATCATAGGTTTTTCAGGTTAGAGTCCATGGCTCCTGGGGCATAATGTGGCTTCCAGTTCCCGAGAGACTGATGCACTCCCTCAGGCAGTAAAGCATTGAGGCTGCTTTGCGTTTCTCTGTATGTTCCCATAGTAGTCACTAAGGGAGTGTGACAATTGGTCTTGAACATTAATCTTGTGTACCCTATGTCCTGTATCCTGGCAACTACAAATGTATTGATCCTGGCAATTGCCACTATATTCTGTTTCTGATAAAAGTATAAAAATCTGATTGCGCCGGGCAGTGGTGGCGCACACCTTTAATCCCAGCACGTGGGAGGCAGAGGCAGGTGGATCTCTGTGAGTTCAAGGCCAGCCTGGTCTCCAAAGCGAGTTCCAGAAAGGCGCAAAGCTACACAGGGAACCCCTGTCTCGAAAAACCAAAAAAAAAAAAAAAAAAAAAAAAAATCTGATTGCTCTCAATAAAATTATCACAGCCTCAATTGTGTTGTGGCCTTTCCAATGGCCATATCAGGCCATGTTGGCCCAGTAAGCAAACACAGGCACTTAAAAACATGGTTCCTTTTTGATCAGAAGGTGAGCCCATCGCCCATCAGGCAAAAGTCTCTGCAGGATCCACACATCTCAGGTTAAATGTGCACTGTCACTCCTTTTTTTTTTTTTTTTTAAAGACATGTTTGTTTAGCTTGTATATAGGAAGGGATAATATCTATAACCTAGGTAGATAGGCTCAAAATAGCAAAAGGAACAGAGGAAAGAATTCCATGATCCCAGTCAGAGACAGTGAAGTTTATATTTCTTACACATGAATTACATTGTCATCCAGGGTTTTTTCCTCCTCAAGTCCCAGGTACAACATGTTTTTAGCCACCAATTTATTCAGTATGCTGTGGGCTGAGATTAGATAGATCTGTAACCCTTCATGTGTGCTGGCATTTAAAATGTTTGGAAGCAAACTTTTTCAAATAGTTCATCTTAAATTAAAATCTGGAAGACTTTTGGGACCGTTTTACTCAGAAAGCAGTGCAGACATCCTTATCTAAGACAGACTTAATTACACAGAGACTGCCTTTGTCCCTTCCACCAGAATTGATTCAAGGTTTCCCAAAGTCTGTGGGTGCTGGGTGGGGAGGGAAACAATGAATAATGCCATGCACAGAGAGGAAAGATAGGGACTTAAACGTCAGTTTGCAGACTTCGTGTTGTTCAATGTCTCCTTAGAGTAGGGCGAGTTATATTAAGGGAGCCTGTAGCACAGCTAGAGGATTTGGCTCCCCTCTGTTTAGGGGAAATATTTCCTTTCTTTAGTTTCTTTCTTTGACTTTCGTTTTCTTTAGAGCTCTTTCTACCTAGGCTGTTTTCCTGTCTTGGTTTACGTTGTGCTAAACACCCTTCTAAAGAGTTTTCTTGCACACAAGTTTCAGATCAAACACATCTCGATCCCAAGAAAACCTGACCACTAAAGTGCCGCAGACCACCCAGAGGGAGACCACCACTGTGGGAGAACCAGGGAGAAGGCTCGAGGAGAAGTCAGGAATCGGCGAGGAAAATGACAGACAGACACACAATGGATTGTTGTGCTGCTGCAGATTTACTTCTGCAAAATCAGTGCTTATATTCTTTTACAATCAAGGAACTTGGCAGGGGGTTACATCAGACTTTTAACTTTTACAATTACTCAGAATCAGCAAGAAACAATAACAAAGTACATCAGTATCTATTTCTGTGTAGTGCAAGAGACAATAACAAAGTACATCAGTATCTATTTCTGTGTATCACTTCCGCAGCTTGGAGTTCATTGCGGTTGTTGCTTAAGGGCATGATCTCAGAATTTTGTGAAATCTGTCTTGCGCCAAAGACCACATCTGTGGGAACCAGATTTTTACCAGCCAAGGTTTAACTCACCCTCTATATACTTTTTGTATAATTTCATTTATTTCTTCCTCACTCCTATATATCCACTTATCCTTCCAGTTGTCATATACCCTTCTATACCAATACCTTAGGGCTGGCTTCATATTTTCTATGATCTGCTGTCTTTCTTCCTTACTATAAAGGCACCAAGGCTTTCTAGTCCTGACTAGCCTTTCCATAAAAGGCAAATCACTCCAAAGTTGTTTCTTTCCTTCATGATTCACCCATCTATTCCCAACTTCATCATAGCTTCCCGTATATGGGAGCAGCTCTAGGTAATTTCCACTCTCAGGGGTCCACCTAGGGGCTGTCCACCAACGCCCCCCAACACAGATAAGACATACAGAGAAAAAGCATGATTAGTGCCAACAAGGACTGTCGCCAAGGCCATCTTGTCCTCCAGGGCCTCCTGGAATCCTCAGGCTGCATGGCGACTGCTGATTGTGGGGGAACCTCTTGAGGCCACGCTCCAGGAAGCTCCAACCTCAACCCTTCAGCTGCCGGACCCCAGCGCATCGGCATGCTTTGCTACAGCTACACAGGTGTCACAGCTGTGGGCGTAGCACTAAAGGAATACATTTTTGTTCTCCACATCATTTCTTACACCTCATCTATGCACAGAGTGTTCCTTGTTGCCCTGGTAACTCCCTTAGACCTGCCCTCACTGTGATGTCCAGAAACTTCCATCCTCTGGATTCTTTTGGTGACCTAGAGAGTTCAAGAGGCACAGGACCACTACAGAAGATGGTGGGCAGTATCTACCCAGGGAGGCAATCTCAGGTTGTTCCTCAGGTAAGCTAAGTTCCCAGGGTACCCTCTAAATTGTTTCAAGTGTCTGGACATGGCTAACTTTTCTCTTGATCAGGAGCGTGAGTGTGCATTTGAAAAGGGAACTCTCCTAGACAGTAACTGCACTTGATTTTATCCTAAGGAAAGTAGTGACTGTGTTTTGTCCCCAGTATCTGGGGTTGGCCCTCACAATCTTACTCACTGAGTGAATCTGAAAGGAAATGGTGCACAGGACATGAATGAGGAAGGGAAGCAAGACTTCTTCAAGGAGAGCAGAGTCACTGCTCCAGGCCATCAAATTCCTAGAATACGGAAGTAGGCTGGGGAATAAACAAGACTTTGCTGAGTGGGGGAGATATAGATATTTGAATTCCATACCTTAAAACCAAGTTTGATAATATTTGATAGAAAACATTCATATTTGATATTTCTTTGAGCATAAGTGTGGCTGTATTTGTTGAAACCACAATTGGAAGTGTGGGCTGCAGAGGTATAGCAGGGTTTCTGATCCCCCCATGTCCAAAGAAAGTTGTAGAGAGTGGGGTCTCTCTGCTTGGCATAATAGCAGCTGGAGCATCAGTAACCTAAGAGTTTGGGGTTCACTTTAAGTCAGTTTTGGGGGAGTTCTGAAGTCTTTGTGTACATACTTTCTATCCCTATGGAATAGTAGGCAGGCGGATAACATCTTTCAAGATTACATACTTCCTGGCTGAGTTTGCTTTGGTCCTTTGTTTAAAACATGACCACAGTTCTGTGCTGTTGTTTTTAGATGTTCTTCTCTGCCAGTTTATTGTTCCACAAACATATCACCCTTTCTTGATGTCGTTTTCTGTTAAACACAGAAATCAGATTCTGTCAATGTGTGTATTATTTCTTCTTAATTCTATTGAGCATTCTAAGCTTTTCACCTTTCCATATACCTTTAGAAACAGCATTTCTATCATAAATTCTTGCAAGTTTCCTTTGGGTATGTTGAATTTATGCTGCAAATTGAACATGCCAAACATCTTAATATTGATTCATCATGTTCATATAATGAGTCACCGTTTATTTACTTCTTTTATTGTTTTGTTCATATGTGAAATACTTCTAGTTTATTATATGAAATGTACTTTGGGCCTACACAGGGGCCTCAGCACATACTCTTTCTTCTTGGGGATGGTCTGTGTTTAGACCCTAATGCCCATCTTGGGAGGCTCATATGTACTTTCAACTCCAGATCCAGAGTATCTGACAAAGCTCTTTTCTCTTTACACACACACACACAACACACACACACACACACACACACACACACACACACACACGACATTCTTGCATGCACACATAAAAACATAAAAAACACACATAAAAATGGGATTAAACTGTTTTTTCCAAAAGTCCTTATGGCTTATGAAACAATTGGAGCAAAACAAGTTGCTTTAGGAATATAGTACAAATCATACAATTAAAAAATCTGTTATCTTGTTTTTCAATTTAAAAGGTTTGTATTACCTTGCCTTACTATGATCCAGAATTACATCCAATCATTAATCAGAGGGAACAAAAAATAGTTTCTAACTGATCACAAAAGGCTTCATTTCCTGTATCTTTAGAGAATGAAATAGTTTTATTAGTTAAAACTATTTAATCTTCAATGTTGAAACATCAGAATTACTTCAAGTAAGTCTCCTGAATTCTGGAAGAGCCTCAAAAAGACACCATTTTTTATTATTGCCAAAGCAGAGTACTAGAGTCTCACAGTGTAAGTGCTGGCTCATGGTTTGTTTTTATTGTTGTCTTACTAGAATCTTGTACTTCTTGCTTTGAAGGATCATGGCATATTTTTAGGTTTGTGTCTTTCATCAGTAATGCTGTCTCTGTTGCATGTTTTAATTAATTATACATCTAATTCATTACACATTTTAATGGATTATACATCTAATTCATTATTCTTTTTTTTAGAAAATGATGGACTTTCATGTATTTTTATATTCTGAAAATTGGCTATAATACTTTATTAGTCCCTGGAAATTTGTGGATATGGGGGAGTTTCTGTAGAGTTTTCTTTTCTCAAACTCAATGGCTTCCCTTTCCCCATTTCTTGGGCATATCTGGTTTTTCAACTTTTGTTATGATTGCTTGGGGTTTTGCTATTTGATTTTAATGGATAATACATTGATTGTTAAATTGTTAAATATTCCTTTTTTCTTTTTCATTTAAAAGTTTCTTTTTATTTTACATACCGACCACAATTCCCCCTCTCTCCCCTCCTCCAGCTCACCCCTTATCTTCCCCTTACCCCACCCCATCCACTCCTCAGAGATAGTAAGGCCTCCCATGGGGAGTCAACAAAGTCTGGCATATCAAGTTGAGGCAAGACCAAGCCCCTTCCCCTGTATCGAGGCTGGAGGTATGCCTCCATAGAGAATGGGCTCCAAAAAGCCAGTTCATGCACTAGGGATAAATCCTGATTCCAGTGCCAGTGGCCCCAGAAACTGCCCAAGCCACATAACTGTCGCCCATATTCAGAGGGCCTAGTTCTGTCCCATGCAAGTTCCCCAGCTGTCAGTCCAGAGTCAGTGAGCTCCAACTAGCTCTAGTCGGTTGTCTCAGTGGGTTTCCCCATCATGACCTTACCCTTTTGCTCATATAATCCCTCCTCCCTCTCTTCAACTGAACTCCAGGAGCGTCACCTAGTGCTTAGCTGTGGATCCCTGCATATGCTTCCATCAGTTACTAGATGAAGGTTCTATAATGACAATTAGGGTAGTAATCAATCTGATTACAGGGGAAGGCCAGTCCAGGGATCATCTCCACTATTGCTTGGAGTCTTAGCTGGGGTCACCTTCATGGGTTCCTGGGAATTTCCCTAGTACCATATTTCTCCCTAACCCAATAATGGCTCCCTCTATTAAAATATCTCTTTCCTAGCTGGGTGATGGTGACACATGCCTTTAATCCCAGCACTTAGGCAGAGGCAGAGGCAGAGGCAGAGGCAGAGGCAGAGGCAGAGGCAGGCAGATATCTGTGAGTTCAAGGCCAACCTGGTCTACAGAGAAAGATCAAAGACAGGCTCCAAAAAGCTACACAGAGGAACACTATCTTGAAAAACAAAAAATAAAATGAGATAAAATAAAATATCTCTTTCCTTGCTCTCCTTCTCTGTCTCTCCCTCAACTTGACCATCATATTCCCTCATGTTCTCTTGCCACCTCCTCTTACTTTATCCCCCTCCCCCCACACTCCCAATTTACTCAGGGGAATTTATCTATTTCCCCTTCCTAAAGGGATCCATGCATGTCTCTCTTAGGGTCCTCCTTGTTACCTAGCTTCTCTGGGGTTGTGTATTGTAGCCTGGTTATCCTTTGCTTTACATCTAATATCCACTTATGAGTGAGTACATACCATGTTTGTCTTTCTGGTTGGTTTACCTCACTCAGGATGTTTTTCTAGTTCCATCCATTTGTCTGAAAATTTCATGATGTCATTGTTTTACAGCTGAGTAATACTCCATTGTGTAAATGTACCATATTTTCTTTACCCAGCCTTTGGTTGAGGGCCATCTAGGTTGTGTAGACAGAAGTTTTCCTGTGTCCCACCCCCTTCTGCAGCCATCCAGTATAGCTGGAGAGTTTTGCTCCAGCTCCCGCCAAGCCCTGGCAGTCCCACAGCCCACTTATAAAATAAACACACAGACTCTTATATTATTTAAACTGTTTGGCCTAATGGCTCAGACTTCTAGCTATCTAGTTCTTACATCTTAAATTAACCCATTTCTATTAATCAATACTTTGTCATGTGGCTCATGACTTACCAGCATCTTCACATGCTGCTTGTCGTGGTGGTGGCTGGCAGTGTCTCTCTGCCTCAGCCTTCCACTTCCCAGAATTCTCTTCTCTGCTTGTCCCACCTATACTTCCTGCCTGGCTATTGGCCAATCAGTGTTTTATTAATAACCAATCAGAGCAACACATTTGACATAGAGAACATCCCACAGCACTTCCCCTTTTCTTTTTTTCAAAAAGGGAGGTTTTAACTTTCACATAGTTAAATTACCGATAACAAAACAATTATCAAGCAAGAATTACAGTTATAATATCTAGTCTATTTATAATAACTAGTTTATTTGGCAAAATTAAAGAAGATATCCTATCTGTCTTATATTTGTGAGTCTAAGTTTTCATATCTAACTTATCTTTTATCATAACTAAGAAAAATTATAACTATCTCTAGTCTTCAACTACATCAAAGACCTCAGAAGGATATAATATTACCTGAGAAATGGGAAAAGGATGCAAGCAACTTTCAAGAGTCTTGCAAGAGTAGACAGAGACAGCTGGCAGCCTGAACAGTCATTCAAAGTTTCTCTGTAAAGTTGGGGCATCTGTCTTCAGCCCATAGGCCTAGAATCTCTCAGTCACTTCTCTCTGTGTCCTGTAGAATGTCTGGCAGTTTCCTCTGCAAAGCAGGAACCTGAAGGACCATTTTGCCAAGCAAAGTTTAGTGGTCACCTTCCTATGGGTCCTGTATGTCCAGTCAATACAGTTTTTTTCAAGCAGTCCAAGCAAGAACAGTTTCTTGCCCAAATGGCTATTTTTTGCCAAGGTGAATATAAATTCCATATGGAGAGTCTTTGATGCCCATCCTCCTCTCTGAAGTAAATCTGGTGCTGCCAGGAGCAGACATGTCTCACTGTCCAGAAAGTCTAAATTAAAAAAAAAATTTAAATGCCATATTCTGTAGATCTTTGAAGTGTTTGAAGATTACCTATCTGTCTGAAATATATCTATATATACACCTAGAAAACTAAACTAACGTGACTATAAGTTTGATTATCATAGAAGACTAATTATAATTATCCATTACAATTTAAATGAGTTACCTAAACATAATACTTCCAACAAGAGTGGAAATTATATATATATATATATATATATATATATATATATATATATATATATATATATTATATACAGTAAAACAAAATTAACTTTAAGTTTGTATCAATAAACTAAAATCTACAGCAATGTAAAACATTTCTAAACAAGTTGCTCTTCAAAAATCCAGCCCCAAATAAACATATAGAGGCTTATATTAATTATAAACTATTTGGTCTATGGCTTAGGCTCATTACTAACTAGCTCTTATAACTTAACTCAGTCCATTCCTATTAATCTATGCTTTGCCATGTGGTTTCGTGGCATTACCTGTTCTCTCACATCTTGCTTCTCCTGGCAGCAGCTTGCAGCATCTCCTCTGACCTCTGCCCTTCTCTTCCCTGTATTTCTGCTTGGATTTCCTGCCTGGCTCTATTCTGTCTTACCATAGGCCATAGCAGTTTCTTTATTAACCAAGGGTAGCAACACATGTTTACAGAATACAGAAAAATGATCCCACAGCTCTTCTCCTTTTCTGTCCAATCAAAAAGGAAGGTTTTCATTTTAATATATTAAAATTACATATAACAAAACAGTTATCAAGCAAGAATTACAGTTACAATATCTAGTCTATTTGTATTTGGCAAAATTAAAGAAAATACGCTATCATCTATCCAATTTTTGTGAGTCTAAATTTTCATATCTAATTTACATTTTATCATGACCAAGGAAAACTATAACTATCTAATCTTCAACTCCATCAAAGACCCCAGAAGGATATTATCTGAGTAAATAGGAAGTGCATTGCAAACAACTTCCAATATTCTAGAAATGAGAAGAGACATTTGGTTGCACGGACAGTCACCAAAAGTTCTTTTGTAGCATTAGGGCATCCATCTTCAGCCTATAGGCCTAGAGTAGCTGGCAGACTTTTCAGTGAAGCAGGAAATTTGAAGAACTGTCCTGCCAATTTTGGCAAGGTTTGTCAGTCACTTTCCTCTGTGCCCTGCAGAATGTCTGGCAGTATCTTCTGTGAAGCAGGAACCTGAAGGATAATCTCACCTTGTTTTGGCAAAGTTCAGTGGTCACTTTCCCATGGGTCCTGTATGTCTGGTTTATACAACATACTGTCAAGCAGTCCAGGCAAGAACAGTTTCTTGCCCAAATGAATAGCCTTTTCCATATTGTAAACAAACTCCATAATAAGTTTCTTTGATGCCCATCATCTTCTTTGAAGTAACTGGTGCTGCCAGGAGCAGACATGTCTCACTGTCCAGAAAAGTCTAAGTTCTTAAACATTTTAAATGCCATATGTTGTAGGTCTTTGAAATGTTTGAAGATTACCTGTCTATCTGAAATATACCTCTGTATACCTAGAGAAGCTAACTAACATGACTATAAGTTTGGCTATTAAGATGACTGTTGTTATATTTTTTTAATTATATATTACATTTTTCGGGTTTTTTTGAGACAGGGTTTCTCTGTGTAGCTTTGGAGCCTTTCCTGGAACTCACTCTGTAGCCCAGGCTGGCCTCAAACTCACAGAGATCCACCTGCCCCTGCCTCCCGAGTGCTGGGATTAAAGACATGCACCACCATTGCTCAGCTATATTACATTTTTAATAAGCTGCATGAACATAATACCCTAAACAAGACAAGAAATATACATACAGTATAATAAAATTAACTTTAAATTTGTATTAATAAACCAAAATTTATACTAATGTAAAATACATAAGATTAATAGTTGTTTTTAAGTGAAAATAGATTCAATAAGCTACCCTTTCTTCCCATCATTTCTATATTATATTCCCCCTTTCTTCTTTTAGAAAGAGATTGACTAAGACTAATAAAAATTTTTAACCAAACCCCCTAAACAAAGACAAACCTCCATAATCCATTTTCTGGGAATGTGAGCATAGTTTTCTTGGCCATTTCCTGCTGATTGGAGGCATTGGTAATCTTTGGAGGACCCTGAGAAAATTTAGGATTATGGTCAAGTCCTGATTGGATCATCTCAGCCAGTTTGTCTTGAATCTGTTCTTGATGTTGAATCCCATTGGAGACCTCTCAGAGGATCGTCCTTGATGCAACCATATTAACCCAGAAGGAATCCACAGCTTCTTATCTTCTGTGGAAACAAAAATGGAACCTCTTTTCCAAAGCAACATATTCTTAGACCCAAAATTTGAAGACAAGATAACTTTAGAATATATATGTTGAATTAATCTAGTAATATTTATAATCAAATGTGTCTTAGCAGCTGCTGTTCCTTCTTCAGTCTTCAAACAATTAAAAGACAACATAATAACATATAGTATCCAGACTCTCTGTGTATATCTTATGTGGCTTTTTAATTTTATATTATTTTTATTGTCTCTTTAGAGACTTTGTTTTATTTTTTAAAAACCATTTATTTCTTTCCATAATTGCCTATACCCATTTTCTTTATTTTTCCCAAGACTACATACATTTTTTAAACACACTGTGACCTGTTAGAGGCCTTTCTGCCTGAGTTTGGTTTATCCTTTTCTGACCAGGAGACTTTTTAAACTGCTAAGTTGTGTGTCTAGGACTGAAGTGGTAACTTTTGCTGCTGGCCCTGCCCAACTCAGCACGGCAGAGGTACATTTATTGCCAACTCTGGGAAGCAGTGGGTCTGTGCCTCCATCAAGCAGCATGAAGCCCAGAAACCTTATAGAAAAAGCTAAATTTGCCATACAGCATGCTGTGAGGCTTGGAGATGCCTCTGTGTACCATGGCAGGAATCTGCCATGTTGTGCTCAAGCTCATAATAGCATCTCTGTGCCATGGTCTGAATGAGAGACATAAACTAGGAAGCTGCTCTTGGCTCCATTTCTGTGCATTCAGAATCGTTTAAAAGGTTTTTCAGGTCTATGTGGATCAATGCCTGATGATGGGCAACAAGGTTGTTTCCAGGTTCTGGCTATCACTAATAATGCTGCTATGAACATAGTTGAGCAAATGTCCTTGTGGTATGAATGTACAACCTTTGAGTATATGCCCAAGAGTGGTATTGCTGGATCATGAGGTATATTAATTCCCAGTTTTCTGAGAAACCCCCATACTGATTTCCAAAGTGGCTGTACAAGTTTACACTTGTTTGAATCTTAGATGGTCATTTAATAAAAAACCCAGAGCCAGATACCAGGGTGAAAACTGAAAGATCAGAGAAGCAAAACAGCCAGCCACTAGTTCTTACTTCTATGAAATCCTCAGCCTAATGAGAGGGAGCTTCTGTTTTCTCATGCCTTATATACCTTTCTCTGTCCTGCATCTTTCTTCCTGGTATTAAAGACATGTGTGCTTTCCAAGCAAAGGTATGAGATCTCAAGTGCTGGGATTAAAGATGTGTACCACCACTGCCTGACCTCTATGTCTAATATAGTACCTGGCTCTGTCCTCTGATCCTCAGGCAAGTTTATTGGGTACACAATATATCACCACATTTCTCTTTTTTTGTGTAAAACAATAAAAGAAGGTTGCAACTAATATAACAAAGACTATATACAATATGTATAATAAGTATATAGAATATATACAGTCAAGAATTACATTAACAATATCTAGTCCATTAACATTTGACAGATTTAGAGAAAAATTTCCATTATTTATCCTATTTTTGCTGAGTCCAAAATGCTGTACATACTTTATGTTCTATCCTAACTTGTATTACCAACTGAAAACTATCTTTTGATGTCTTTCAAATTTATACACTTTACACACCTTTAGTGAGTTTCCTTTCTGAATTTGTTAACAAGGAAAACTATAACTATCTAGTCTTCAACTCCTTCAGAGACCCAAGAAGAAATAATATTACCTTGGTAAGCAGGAAGTGCAAGCAAGCAACTTCCAAAAAAATGTGAGAAATGACAGAAACAGCTGGCTGCATAGACAGTCACCCAAGGTTCCTCTGCAATGTTGGGGCATCCATCCTTGGTCTACAGGCCTAGCATATATGACAGACTCATCTGTGAAGCAGGATTTTCTAAAGGGCCCTCCTACCTTGTCTTGGCAAGGTTCTGGAGTCCTTTCTTTTGTGTCCCACTTGTCCCTTTAGGCAGCATAGTGTCAGCAATCAAGGCATGTGCATTCTTGCCCAGTGGCTAACTTTTGCCACAAACAAAGTAAACTCCATATGGAATTTCTTCCATGCCCATCATCTTCTCTGAAGTAGATTGGTGCTGCCAGGAGCAGATATGTCTCATTGTCATAAAAAAGAATGTCATTAAAATATCTTAAATGCCATATTCTGTAGATCTCTGAAGTGTTTGAGATGAACTATTTCTCTAAAATATATTTCTGTTTGACCTTGAAAACATACCTAATATGACTACAACTTCAATTGTAATAACTACTAACTTGAATTTCTCTATATCTTATTTAGTTGGTAATAATAACTTTCAAGGACTAGCAATTTGCATTACATTGTTAAAAGAACAGTGTAGGTACAATACCTTGAACAAGAGTAGAAATGTATGTACAGTATGTTCTAAGAAAAATAATCTCAAATTTGTATTAATGTACAAAATTTGTATATAATATACAAAAATCCAATCCAATGTAAAATATTTAAAACAGGTAGTTGCTTTATCGAAGTAGTTTCAATAGTCTACCTTTTTATGTTATCATATCCATATTCTCTCTTTTTTCTTTTCAGAGTAGATTACACAATATAATCGAGTACTCATAGTGCATTTACTATGGATTGCTCACACCTATAACTAAGCAATCACAGTGTATGATGAGTTCATGCCTATGACCCAGCACTCTCTCTGCATGTATTCTAGAAGGTTCAGGCCTACAGTATAGCACTCATGATGCATGTATTGTAGAAGGCTCATGCTGTATCCTAGCACTCATGGTGCAATTACATGGAGACATGCACATTTAACTTAGCATTCACAGTAGAAGACTCAAACTTGTAACCCAGAACTCATGGTGCATGTACTATGGGGGATCCAGCCTGTAACTCATTATTCATTATGCATATATTGTGGGAGAGTGATATCTGTATACTAGTATTCATCATGCATATACTATGGGAGGGTGAAATGTGAAATCCTATTACTCATGTTACATACTGTGGGAGGTTCTTGCCTATAGCCCAGCACTCATGGTGCATTTACTGTGGGAGGATCATACCAATACAGGAGCACTCATGGTGCATGTACTATGGGGTCCTATCTCTATAAGGCTGCATTCATGATACATTTACTATAGTGGCCTTAGTCCTGTAACCCAGCCCTCACAGTGTGGGGACTGTGAGTGGCTGGCCATCTGTATGATAAGTACTCATGATGCATTTACTCTAGGAGGCTTAGGCCTGTAAATCTGCACTCATGGTACATGTATTTTTTTAATACTCATGTCTGTAGCCTGGAACTCATGCTGCATGTACTGCAAGAAGCACTAGCCTGTAACAGATCACTCATGATTCATATATTTTAGGAGGCTGACATCTGAATACCAGTACTCATGATGCATGTACTGTGGGAGGCTCAAACCTATAGCCCAGAACTCGTTGTACTTACACGGTGGAAAGCTCATGACTATAACCCAGTATTCACAGAACATGTAGTATGGTGGGCTCATGGCTGTAATCTGGCACTCATGGTGCATGTACTTTGGGAGGCTCCAGGCTGTATCCCAACATTCATGTGAATGTATTTGTGAGGACTTATGGTTGTAAAACAGCATTCATGGTGCATGTATTTGTGGGGGCTCATGGTTGTAAACCAGCACACATACTGCGTGTACTCTGGACACTTAGGTCTGTAACCAAGCACTCACAGTGCCTCTAGTGAGGGCAGTTCACACATGTATCCTAGCGCTCACAGTGCATATACTTTGGGAGGCTCATCCCTAATGACACAGCATTCCCTATGAATGTCCTAGGTGAAATTGAAACCAGTATCCCAGCATTCACTGTGCATGTACTATGGGAGGTTCATGCCTATAAACCAAGTATTCACAGTGGATGTGCTATAGTGGCTATTTGCTGCAGCACAGTACCCATGGTATATGTATAGTGGTTGTCTGACACTTGTATCCTAGCAATCATGGTGCATATACTATGGAAGGCTCATGTCTATAATCCTATACTCATGGTGCATGTACTGTGGGATATTTATCCCAATACCACTGCACTCACTGTGAGTGTACTATGTAAGATTCAAACCAGTAACCCAACATTCATGATTAATGTACTGTGGGAGTTTCATGCCTATAACTCAACATAAATAGTGTATGTATTATGGTAGGCTCTTTGCTGTAACCCAGGGCTCATGTGCATGTACAACAGTTGTCTGACCCCTGTAATTCTCCAGGCATGGAATCTCTTGTGCATAATACACCATTTGAAAATAGGGATGAATCAAGTTCTTTTGCTATTTGTCCTTTAATTTTATTATCTTGCCTTATTACTTTAGTGATAGTGAGTGCTTTAAGTACTATGTTGGAAAGGAATGGGGATAGTAGACACCCCGGTCTCATTCCTGATTTTAATGGGATTGCTTAGAGGTTTTTCTCCTTGTAGGGGAATATAGACTCTGTGATGATGTGTCATGTTCCCTCAGGTACTGTTTTTGTCAGGTTTTTGTCATTCACATGTATTGGATATCGCCAAAGGCCTTTTACACCTCATGAAAGAATCATGTGATTCTCTTTTCATATCTCTTTGTATTATTTACTATACTTTTTGAGTTACATATGGTACAGATACTCCAAATCTCCGGACAACTGCAACTTTGTTTTGATGGATGACACCTGTTTTCATTGTCATACCAGACAAGGCCTTTATTTTGTCTCTGTTTTGTAATGGTATGTATTTCAAATTAAAATGTAATTATGTTCCTTCCCATATTGATTTTCCTCCTGCCAAGCCCTAGATTCTAATTCCTCAATATAATGCTTTCAAACAGTATACAGACATGCATCAAAAAAGCTATCTGTCATGACCAAGTAGACTTTGTCCCTGGAATGCAGTAATAATTCAATTTAAGCAAGCCAATAAATGTAACAAACCACATAAATGGACTAAAAAACAAAAATCACATGATCATTTCAATAGATGAAGGAAAAGCATTTGAGAGCATCCAACATGGCTTAATGAAAAATGTACTAGTCAATGTACAGATAGAGAAAAAAATACCTCAACGTACTAAAGGTATTTTGAGAAATGCAGCCAACATCATTCTAAACAAAGAGAAGCTTGAAGAAATCCAGTTGAAGTCAGAAATGAGACATAATGTCTGTTATACTCACTATTTATAATGTTGTAAGCTCTAAGTACTGGCTGGTGTTATTCAGCAAGAGAAGGAAACTAAAGGAATATGAATACAGGAATAAATCAAAATATCCCTGTTTATGGATAACATGGGGTATCCCAAAAGTTCCACAGAAAACTTTTTGAAACAATAAGCTAATTCAGCAATGTAACAGGATACAGAATCATCTCGTACAAATCAATAGCTTTTCTACATACAAACAACATGCAAAGAAAGAGATGGTGAACAAAATCCCATTTACAATAACCTCAAAATTAAATAAGTAAGAATGAGTCTACTCAAGGAAGTGAAGGACATCTGCAATGATAGAGAGACACTAGAAAAAGAAGCGTATCTGACCCTCACAGATTGGTAGATTTAATAATATGAAAATGACCATTTTATATAAAGCTATTTAGTGCAATTCCAACTAAAATTCCCATATAATTCTTCACAGAAATATAAAAATCTATCTTAAAATTCATATAGAACCACAAAAGACTCCAGTCAGGCAAAAAAATATCCTGAACAAAATCAACAGTTCTGGAGAGATTAACATTCTGTATTTCAACATATGCTACTAACCAACAGTGAGGAAAAACAATAGGCTATTGGCAGAAAAACAGACATGAAAAACAATGGAAGCAAATTTATACCCAAACATGAGTACATAAAGCTACACCTATTTAACATCTGACAAAAGATGCATAACCTGAAGAAAAGAAAGTATCCTCAACAAATGGTCCTGGGAAAATTGGATGTCCACATTTGAGAGACTAAACATGTTTTTTAAATATTAATGTTAAAATACTTAATAAAAGATGATATGACAAATAGTAAATGTCTTGTGTGTCTAAAGCAACAATTTCATCTACCTGATAGAGATGTAATAAAGTAAGATATTCATCAATCCACTGTAAATCTCATAACATAGCTTGATATGCTAAGGATGTAGATATATTATTTGATATTTCTGTATCTTCATGATCCAAATTTTATCCGTTTAAAACTTCATCTTGAAGTTTTGCCTCCTAAGGGAATTATCTAGAGATGCCATATAATATAAGGGCAGTGACATTTATTTTTTAAAAGAACAGTTCTGTTTTCGGTCTGTCTCTCTGTGTAATGTGATTATAGGTGTATAGGCCATGACATATGTGGGTACAAGAAGAAAACTTGGGGGGATTGTTTTGGCCCTTTTTGTATGATGATCAATGTCAGATTTCTAGCCTTGAACACCACAGACATATTTTTCCCAATGAGATGTCTCACTGGTGCTCAAATAAGATTACTAGAAGCATTACATCAGTAAAATATCGTCTCCTATTCAGATTGTAAAATATTGTAATCTAAGGATGGAGGAACACAAAACAATTTTAATAATAAATCATATTTGCAAATGAAAATTATATTTATACTGCAATTTATTTATTTATGGAATATACTAATTTATTCTGAGGATGAAACACTTGTTCATAACACTTTCTCAGAAACACAAATGAATCCCTAAGAATAGTCTCAGTGTGTAAAGTCAGTTGATACTAAGACTGATGACCTGAGTTCAATCTCTGGGAGACACATATTACTCCTACAATTTTTCTCTTATGTCTACAGGTGGGCTGTGGCATATGCACACCTACACACCAGCACATACATAAATAATTTTTAATCTTAAATAAGGCCAGTGAGGTCACTGGCAGCCAAACTTTTACTTCCTGGGTTTGGTCTGTAGAACTCACTTATAGGATGTAGTAATTAATACCTGTAAATTGTCCTCTGAGTGTCATATGCACACCATAGCACAAATATATGTGCACAGTTAAAACAGTTTAAAAGATTGAAGTTAACAAAGCAAGGAAAATAAATAACCAAATTGTTGAGAGCATATGAAATGATTTACCAGTTGAAATTAATACATTGTAGAATTTTGAAAAGAGTTATTGTTCATAAAAACAATGACAGTTCCTGTTTAAATTTTACATTGTCTTTTCATGCTTTGATTCAAAGATAGATCACTTAAAAATCATATCTCAGCTGGGCTTAGTGGTTCATACTTGTAATCCCAGCACTTGGGAGTCAGAACCATGCAGATCTATTGAGTTTGAAGCCAACACAGTCCATAGTGAGTTTCAGGGAAGGCATGGTTACTTAGAGTAATTCTGTCTTAACCACCACCCCTCCCCCCAAAAAGCCCCCCTATATTTCAAATTATGGAACTTTTCATAATATAACCTGGCTGGACTCATCACTACTTAACAAAACCTTTTGTTGTCTTTACTCACATCAAGAGAATCGTGTTAAAAATGATAAGAAATATGGAGAGTCCACTCACAGAAGGCTAGAAGTCCACCAAATAAGACTTTCATCACATTCAAGTCATAGACCACAGAAGGCGGTATATTTATCTTTGCATTATAATGAAATATTGGCAGTGGAGGGTAGGTTTGGTAATACTGCTACTATTGGGTACTCAAGTTTGGTTACTAGGACCCACATCAAATGGCTCAGTAATTCCCGACCCAGGAGATATGATGCACTCTTTGGGCCTCTTTTGGCACCAGGTATGCAAATAGTATAAAGACATGTATGTATGTATGTATGTATGTATGTATGTATATAATATATATATATATCCATGTTGTAAACAAAGTTTTTTCATGTATTTGTTATTCTTTTTTAATTAAAATTAATTTGATTTCAGTGTATAAGTTTTGTTAGTGTGTATTCCAATTGAATGGATGAAAATCCAGTGCTCTTAGCTGCTGAGCCAAGTATTTAGTTCCTGCCTCCAGGTTCCAGTTCTGCTTGAGTTCCTGTCCTGACTTCCTTCAGTGATGAACAGCAATGCTGAAGTGTAAGCCAAATAAACCCTTTCCTCCCCAACTTGCTTTTTGATCATGGTGTTTTTATCACAGCAGTAGAAACCCTAAGAAAGACAATGATAGTAGAATAAACCTCTGAAACCATAAGAAAGCCCCAATTAAATGCTTTCATTTATAAGAGTTTCTGTGGTCATGGTGCTTCTGCATAGCAATAGAACACTGTCTAAAACACAAATGAAAAATATATTTCCCTTTTAGTGTTTGTTTTTTGAGATGGGTCTTACTATGGAACTGACTATTTAGACCAGTCTGGCCTTGAGCTCATGGTGATCAGCCTGCCTTTGTCTCCCAGGTTTGGGGATTAATGGCATGTGATAACATGCTGGATAACTTTGTTTTTGAAAATGATGGATTGTATGGTAATGAGTGAGTGAAAACTGTAAAGACCTTAAGAGGTATCTTCTCATTTCTCCAATGCTCTTTTCTTTTGTTATTCAGTTTTGTTCTTTTCGTGTGTGTGTGTGTGTGTGTGTGTGTGTGTGTGTGTGTGTGTGTGTGTGTGTTGATGTAGTACAAGCTTTCCCCAAACTGACAGTGATCTTTCTGCATCTGGTGTGCTGTGATGTAAATCATGCATCACCATGACTGGCTTGAAAAAAAAATGAGTTTTATTCTGCATTTGTCTCTTTAAATTTTTTTTAGTTATTATTTAATGTGTATGGGTGTTTTCCCTGTAATTTTGTCTCTGTACCCAGTTCATGCCTGGTGGTGAGGGGGACAGAAAGCAAGTGTCAGGTCTCCTGGAGCTGGATTACAGACAGTTGAGCACCATATGTATACTGAAACACATTCTGCATGCTCTGGAAGTCTTCAGTACTATTAACTACTGAGCTATTTCTTCAGCTCATGTTTTCTATTCTTGACTATGTTTTTTTTTTGTCCAAGGCTGGTTAGGTCACTAGGGGATCAGACTCCTGTTCATCATTAAAGAATGGAATCTCCTTCAAGTGGAAGAATTAGCCTAAGGCAGGGATGAACTCTCTAACTGGTTACCTAATACATGGTTAGGTGGTTAACCCTGAAACTATATATACACAACCAAAAAAAAGTTACTAAACAAAATACAGTCATATATTTGCATACACTTATTTATATAAGTATATTGTATAGAGAGACTTGACAAACAAGAAGGTGTGAGTAGGGAAATTAAATAGGGATGAAGGGATGGCAAGGAAGGTGAAAAGTGATGTAATATTTTAATTGAAAATGAATAAAAAATAAAATCTAAATGAAAATGAGAGGTCCTAGATCAATAATTCTCAACCTGTGAGTTGCACCCCCTATAGGTATTTAATAACTCTTTCACAGTGATTGCAAATCAGATATCCTGCATATCAGATATTTACATTATTATTCCTAACAGTAGCAAAATTAGAGTTAATGAAGTAGCAATGAAATAATTTTATGGCTGGGATCACCAAAACACAAGGAACTGTATTAAAGGATCACAGCATTAGGAAGGTTGAGAACCACTGTCCTAGAAAAATGGCTCAGTGTTTAGGGCCACTGGGTGCTGTTGCAGAGGACCCAGGTTCCATCCCCAGAATTCCCATGTTTACTAAGAAGCTGCTCTAGTCCTAGGGAATCTAATGCCCTCTCCTGGCCTCTACAGGTACTGTGCACAGACATATCCATTTAACCAGTCATACACATAAAAGGTTAAAAAAAAAGAATGGAATTCTCTACAATAATGTGACAGCCCTGAGAAAGTCAGCTGCCAGGGCTAGTTAAAATGAGCTTTTTCTGGTCCTGCATGGAAGCAGCTGTGGCCTTCCTCTGAGTCAGGCTGTACAAAGCTAAAACAACCTTGTTTGAGGTTAGAATAGCTCAGCATACCTATCCATCTAAGAACAACATCCATATTTTATGTATTTTCCCGTCTTTTGCATTTGTAGGAATTATGGCATTGATATATATAATAATATAATATAATATAATATAATATAATATAATATAATATAATATAATATAATATAATATAATATAATATAAATATAATATAATTAATATAATATAATAATATATAATATAATATGATATAATATAAATATATATTTCAGATCATACATCATGATTAGCAGCATTAGCTCCCAAGCAATCAGCTTTCAAATTATCATTTACTTGATTTTCCACTAAGAACAAGATAAACATGCCAGAAGTATTTCTGTCCATCATTTTTATATTTTACATAGCTTTCTGCATGACTTTGTGCTAAGAATGCCCCACATATCTCTGCTTTTATGTTATGATCATGTTTAGAAGTGGGTATGTTAACTGAACATGCTTAGGAATCTTTGGAAATTATTCCCATGCTCTCCTTGCTCACTAGAGATAAGAAACCTTTCTCTGCAATTCTAGATTCTTATATATATAGGCTCTTATGGTTGGTATTCTTAGTTGTCAACTTAACTACATCTGGAATTAACTAAAACCAGTGCACTTTATTATACCTGTGAGGGATGTATCATGTGAAACAGTAAAATCCAACAGTAATCTGGTTCTTTTGAAGTGAGAAGACCCATCTTTAATCTGGGCTACTCATGTAGGCAGCCTGTATACAGAACATGGAAGAAGGAAGCTTTTATTCTTTGCCTGTTTGCCCTAGCTCTCTCTAGCAAGTTTATTCATTTAGTGGTGATACAGCCCACTTTTGGGAATTCCTGTTCATACTGAAGACCAGATGAGACATGAAGCTTTTTGGACTGAACAACTACTGGGTTCTTGGTTAAGTAAAGGAAGACAGCAAAGTCAGCTTTTGGAGGCCAGGCATGAATGCTTCTGAATTTGCAAATCTCTGCAGAACTGGGACTGGTTTTTGTCTAAGGTTGAAGGCCAGGGTAGATAAGCACCGTGCTGTGTCCCTTCAGCACACTGTCTTCTTAAGGAAGCTACTCTTGTCACTCAAGACTCACTACCCAATCAGGGCCTCCTAGTGGACACAGCAGTCTACAGGGTTGGAGGGCTCTTCTAGGCTCCAGGTTGCAACCTTGCTCCATTACTCAGGTAGGAGCATGTGCTGCACTGTGAGACCACTGCCAGGATCTATGAGAAGAGTGTAGTTGAGCTTGGAAGAACCGACATGGTGAGCTAGGGGTTGCTTTCCAAAGATAATGAGGAGTGGTCAGCTGAGTTGTTGGAGCAGATATTCTGGATCTTCCCCTGGGCTGAATGTGAAACTAGGAGGCAGGCAGGTATTCAATTGGGACCCAAGTGGCCTTTGCATCTCCCTGAGCCAGGACACCAGCCTCTGAATGACTTTATTCTGAAGACTAAGCTGCCTAGAGCATGGGGAACAGAGCCTGTGCATAAAAATATCTTCCTTGTTTGTGATCACTGTGCAATGTGCTTTGAATATAGCTCTATAAGGCAGGTTGCCAAAATCAGAAGTGTGGTTTCTCTAGTGTCTTCCAGAAGTTATGCACTTTTATTCAGCAATGAAGTTTAGGATCTATTGGAGATAATTTTGTCAAGATCCAGTCTGGATCCTCCCTATCTAGACTTGATGTGACAAATACCCACAATCAGTTTAGGTGCATCTGAAAATAGAAACAGACAAGCTGAAAAAACTTAGTCAGTACCCCCATCCTATAAAGAGATAAAGATGTAGAAAAATACAGTTCTCTGAGTTATTTTTCTACAAGGGGCACCTTTTATCCCACAGTTTATATTTAAGTCAGACCTGGGTACAGAAAACTATTGACACTTTGGTTCTTAAGGCCTAGAGATAGAAGAGAGCTCAAAGGATAAAAACACAGTGAGGGGGAGCCTTCACTGACATCCACCCATCTTTTAAGAAAAATTAAAGTAACCTGGAATGTCTTCTAGACCCTCTTTGTCTGCCTCTGCAGAGCATCCTCAGGAGTATTCTTACTTCCTCTTTCTTTTCTCACAGTTATTGTGGTAATTTGAATAGGAATGGCCCCCACAGAATCATGTGTTGTGCCACAGGGAGTGACACTATGAGGTGTGGCCTTGGAGGAAGTGTCCCACTGTGGAGGTGGGCTTTAAGATCTCTCTCATATGCTCAAGCCAGGCCTAATGAGGTAGTCTCCTGCTGCCTGTGGGTAAAGATGTAGAAATCTCAGCTTCTTCTCCAGGACCCTGTCTGCTGCATGCCACCATGGTTTCTGTCATGATAACAATGGACTAAACCTTTGAAACTGTAAGCCAGCCCCAAATATATGTTTTCCTTTATAAGAGGTTTTGTTATGGTGTCTCTTCACAATGATAAAATACTAAGACAGATATAAAAAGAAATGCCTCTCATATTAGCTGCTTACCCTGATGTTTAACTGGATATTTGATTCTTCCTTTTCATTAGTGAACCAAAAGACAGGGTCTGTATGAATTATCTGCTCCTTTATATATTATATGACTCAGGAATACTTATGACATTACTGAATTCTCCTTGAATTTTTCTCTGATTTTAGCCTATCTGTGCTGGATGCTCATTCAGCAAAACTTCTGGAATGTATATATTGAAACTCACATGTCAAAGAAATCAGTAAACTTCTAATAAATATTAGTGAGAATTTTGGCTCTCTTGTGGGATAAACTTAACAATATTTCCTTAAACATTCCCTTAAGCCTGTTCTCTAAATTTATAATCTGTTAATCTCGGTGACATTTCTCACCCTAAATTGGAGTCAAGCATAATAACATTCAGTGCAAACCCTTCTTTTTAGAAATGGCTTTCTATAAGTCAGGCTTCCTAGGTTTGAAAAGGAATAGTATAATTTACCATATGCAATCTTAACATTAATCTTAATTACCCATAGATCAGAGGATCTAGGACACCAAATACACAAGACATAAAATAATGGAGAAAGAAATAATATTCGGATTTTCCATTTCCATAGCATGTTTATGTCACATTTAGAAAACAAAAGTGTAGGTTTGAGGGTTATGCTGGAGCAGATACAAAAGTCAGCCGCAAACCTGGACAAGAAGAGGCTCAAATATCTTATAGAAAAAGAGGCTCGCAGATTCCATGCGGAGGGTCAAGTTGGGACAGCACATTAAGACTCTGTGGCCTGCATATGTTCCCTCCAGCTGTCATAGCTGCTGGTGGTAGCAGCTTATCTGACACTCAGAAATTGATTCCTTAAGTCCCGTTGGGATGTGAGCTCTCCCAAGACCAGCTCTAGGCTGGGCAAATTCCCATGAGCCTTCCATGTCTAAACACTTTAAAGTGTCAACTTCCCTTTGGAGGCACATGGCTAAGAAAGTTCTTCAGTTTATGTGGAAGCCAGAAAATACATTATGTAAAGCAATGTGCCAAAAATAAAATAAAGCAAACACAAACTATGAAAGGCTGGTGTCACCTCTTTAGTATATAAATGG